TACGTTAAAGCTGTAATGAAATGCTTCTTCTAATCATGTAGTTATTAAAATTTTTTAATATTTAAAAAGATAAAAAAGAAAGAAAATACTCTTGAACTAATCAGATTATCATATTAACAATATTGGGCAAAATTAACAAACTAATTTTTTCAGCTATATTTAACTAAAACTTAATTCATTACTTGTTGGCCACCTGTAATGAAACAAATATGTTTCTTTTTCATTGTCCAAACCTGTCCAAGGAGAGCTCTAATTTAACATATATGTATATACATATATATCATCTTTCTACTTAAATGAGTGTGTTAATAAATATGCTTTTCTGTTCCTAATCTTGTTGGTGGATCTTGAAAAAAAGTACTATTTCAAAGCTAAGAGAAATAGTTTCATTGTCTACTTCAATCCTTCCTGTACTCAAAATAAACAATTATCTCTCTTTAAAAAAAATAGTTTTTCTGTATGAAACATTGTATTTTAAAATGAAATGGAAATCTTTTTTAAAGGTTAAAACTTCATTAAATTTTATGTCTTATAATGAATACAATATTGTATAACTATTAATTTAACACTGTGAACCTAAAAATTATAGCCAGTTGTGAAAGAGATGCATCTTTGCTCTGGAAACTGTTATTGACTATGTCAACGCTGTTGTAATGAAATGCTTCTACTAATTATGTGGTTATCGAATAATTTTTTAAATGAAAAAAAATGTTAACTCTCACAATGAGAACTTTTCTAGAAATAAATGAAGTATTTGGTTTCTAAACACACATGAACTTTTTAGGGAGAAACTTGGCCCTGGCGTGAAATAAATTCAGGCAGGATACTATCAAAGTTACTTACAACTCAGCTGAAACATATCTTAAATTTCTGTGCATTCCATCTAGAACTTTCATGTCCTCAGCAGGCAACTGGAAGTCAAAAACCTATGATAAAAGAAGAGTGTTTAGTATTTAAATGAAACAGATTTGATGGGCAATATTTGCAGGATGTGAGAAGTTTCACTCGTGATTAACAATAACCAAATGAAAATTAAAAGAAATTAATTGAGACATTGAAATTTCACAGCACGGCAGACAAAATGAAATCTCAAAGGTAGCTTCAGAAGAAAAAAGTTGACATCATTCAAAGATTTTGGCAACATGTACATAATTTCCAAGGAATCTAAAGCAAGCATTTGAAATATACAGATAAATTAGTATTTTGCATGGGTAGTTACATTTCTACAATCATTTATTAATTAAAATACAAACAATGCTCTTTTCAATATTATGTCAAGACTTACCTAATATCTAATTTTATCAAATTCAAAGGATAAATGAGCTGACTTGTTCTTTTTACCTAAATTTAATCCATTTTTAACATCAAAATGATTTTCACTAATTTCTAACATATTAAAACAGACTGTTAAGTCATTGGTGGTTTCCTGAAAATGGTGGGAAAAAGAAATAAGGATGGAGGGAGAAAAGAATAGCTAGAGGAAGGGGGAATGGACGGAGAAATTTGTCAGCTGTGTGAAAACTGATACATCTGACACATCCAGGAAAGGGCATTCCATGAAGTTTTGTATGAACTTGAAAACTGTCAAAACAGAAGAGAATATGTTAATAAAAGATGATCACAAATATCACTTTCCTATAACAAGATCCAAAGGATATGTGAAAATGCTTTACTGGGAAAAGTTATGAATGCTATTGAAATATGTTAAAATCCACCTAAAATTCAAACTTGTTTCATCACAAGCATGGATTAGAGTCAGTAATATAATAAAAGGTAAATTTAGGTAAAACTTAAATTGATTGAAAATATTAATGCATTATTTAAATACTTTGATATCCAAATGCCAAAAATCTATCAGTGTAGGCATTAAGTGATTCTAAGTTTTGTATAACATAATGATTCATCAAGAGTATCAAAAATATTCTTTAGAGAAAAAGAATGAAAAATATTGGACATTTTGAACAGAAACTCTGTTTTCTAACACAATCAGATATTGGGAGAGAATAAATAAGATCATTAAACAGAGAAGATAAGCCATAAGTGTAATCACTCATGACAGTGATTTAAAAATTATACATGTATAATTGAATGCATAGTTCACAAACTTACAAAAGTTGCACTTACTTTAGAGAGCATTTTTGAAAGAAACAGTATTAAACTCTGGCAAAATAATGAGGGAGAACTGTGTTCCCAGCAAGGAAAAACTGACACTCAACCACAAAGCAAAAGCGTAAGTACCATAATAAGAATCTTTTGTTTGGGACTAGAGAGAAAACTCAACAATCAAGAGCACTGGCTGCACTTACAGAAGATGCCTGATCAGTTCATATGACAGAATCCATATGTCCTTAACTTCACGTCCAGAGGATCAGATACCCTCTTCTGACCTCCACAGGAAATGTACACATTGGCAGAGTTATATACATGCAGACAAAATGCTCATACACATATTGTCAAAAATTATTTTAAAACGGGGTTGGAGAAATGGCTCAGCAGTTAAGAGCACTGACTGCTCTTGCAGGACCCAGGTTCAATTCCCAGCACCCACATGGCGGCAACAAACTGTCCTTAACTCCAGTTCCAGGGGAGTCCGAAGCCCTTTTCTGACCATGACATTGCACGACACGGGTACACTCACATACATGTAGACAATACACTCATACACATAAAATAAAAATAAGTGTATTTTAAAATTATTTAAAAACAATCTTTTGTTCAAGGAAAAATAACAAAAGCATGAAAGAAAACATAAGGAGCGTCTGGGAGAAAGCAATTCAACAAACATTTCTGAATATGCAAAACCAATGTGACAAATACACTATGATACAGATATCTTGGTCTCCACAACCTTTAGGTGATTTTACACCTTCTTCTACTGAGATGGAGTCTACATCCCTACCGCTTGCAGCTCAGCTTGTGGGTAACTTGCCTTGGACACTTTAACTTAGCAGAAGCAATGATGTGAAACTCTTTATGAAGGGCTGCTTGCTGCCTTCATCTAAGGCTATGGGCAGACATAGAGCCTGGGTAAGTTGACTATTGCTGGAAAACTATATGCAATTGAGGAAAAACTCATCATTATTCTGAGATCCAAGGGCCTCATTGTCCTGAAAATATACACACTAGTTCCATGAAATATGTGGAGGGGCTCAGCCTAGACAGACAATTTTCATTGAATTCGGGTTTAAGTAAGGCAAATTTTCAAATCAAAGAGCACCAGACTAAATAAAAAAATCATGTAAATGAAACTATTACATGAGGATATTTGCTTAGTAACCACTACAGGTAAAAGTATAAGAGTATAAGGAAGGCCTCCTTCTTTAACATAAAAAGGACAAAAACCTACATAAGTAAGTCAGAAACACATGTTTAACCAGTGATGTCAAAATAAACATATGAATATTTTTTAATTTTTCTGAGCTTACAGAGGTTTAAAAATAAACCTATAATAATATCTAGAATCAAAATTATCCAGTCCAGATCTCTCATTTCAGAAAATTTTTTAAAAGGCCCCTTACAAAGGGGGATAGCAGATGGCTGACACGATACAAACATCTCCAGCTCTGTTTCTATCACGCTAGGGTATGGTTCACATGGTAGAGCAGAAAAACATTTCTTTTTTGTCCTTTTCTTTTCTTTTAGATTTATGTTAATTTTCCCTCTATTTTACTTTTTAAATTTATTATTGAATTTTTCAATTTCATACTATATAGTTTGGTGTTATTTAGATCCCTTCCCCTATCCAGACCTTCCCCATTCTTCTCTTCCCAATTTAATGTACTCTCATATATATGAGATACATATATCACATATATGTGTATATATATGTATATATGAGATATATACATCTCCAACTCTAATTCTATCAAGCTATGGTGCAGTTTACATATATATGTATATATATATAAAAAGTAGCTCCCAAAGACAACCTTGTGGTGACTTCTCCCTTTTAAATGGCTCCACTAGTAAAATGCTTGAGGTCAGACCCTTACCTTGATCCCCAGCACAAATAAATAAATAAATAAAAATAAAAATAAATAAATAAATTTTTAAAAAACCTGCAGTGTCAGTCAGGAGAAACCTCCCTTCAAATTGTTGGTAAGGGTAGTCCAAGAAACTTCCAAAATAGCCCAAGCTATTGCCACAGCCCTTAATTTCCTCCAAGAACTTGAAGGTAAGACCCTCCTGCTGAAGACAGGACATACTTCAGACACAGAACTTAGAGCAATCAGACTGGAATTGATCTGGAAATCTTCACCTGCAGTGTCAGTCAGGAGAAACCTCCCTTCAAATTGTTGGTAAGGGTAGTCCAAGAAACTTCCAAAATAGCCCAAGCTATTGCCACAGCCCTTAATTTCCTCCAAGAACTTGAAGGTAAGACCCTCCTGCTGAAGACAGGACATACTTCAGACACAGAACTTAGAGCAATCAGACTGGAATTGATCTGGAAATCTTCTCCCTGAAGACTAGAACTCAAGGCATTAGAGGATACTATACAAGCTGCTGGGTGGGGGGGGGGGTGCAAAAACCAACCAATGGTCCTGCCAAGCTGTAAACCTAATAAACAACAATGCCTACCCCAGTCAACTATTGATATTGGTGCATAAACTGTGCTTTTATCTTGGGAGTAATCAACAGCTATGGGATTAAGGCCCACTAAGTGGGAGGGAATTCACATGTGGTACTGTAAACATAGCCAAATACACATGACTGCAGAGGTCACAGATCCTAGAGAAAAACCTACTTTTGCCACATCCCTAGAACAACATAATACACATCTTCATATATAAAGACAAATTTGCCTTTCACCCCTTGATGAAATATTTCTAAATGCAATTGAAACTCATAAGCATAGAAAATGCTAGAGATACAGACTTGTCCTAAAATACGTCTTGGGAGATTTCAAAGAACCAAACACAAAGGCACTGAGTAAGAGCCCTGAGTCCCTCAGCCCAGATCATCACCTGCAAATTCTCTTTGATCTCATTTTCTTTGAAACTCTGGGCCAGAGGCAGGACCCCACGCTCAATCTGGTAGCGAAGGGCAATCAGGGCTGGACTTCTCTTGTGCTTTTTGGCCACATCACAAAGAACTGGATCATTCAAGAGAACTGGAGAGCTCTGGTCTACCCTGGAAGGAAAGCAGAAATGTTGAGCTCCTGAGTGTGAGAATTTGACTTTGTTATGGGGCTTCCAAACAAAGTAGGGACTCATTCTAAACCACATACAATAGGGCTAATTGTCACCAGGATGGGCTGTTCAGAATCAACTGAGAGATGCCACAGTATGTTATACTAATGATGATAACTGATGTGAGAAGAACTATGTTAATTGTGGAACCATTTCCTGGGCAACAGATCCTGTCCTGTGTAAAATAAAGAGAGCAAGCAGACATGTATCCATCTTTGCTTCTTGACTGCGGATGTGATGTGACCACCTGCTTCAAGGTCCTGACACCTGTACCTTCCCACTGTGGTGGCCTGCACCCTTGAATTGTGAGTCAGAATAAGCTCTTTCACTCTTAAGTTGCTTTTGTCAGAGTACTTGATCACAGCAACAGGAAAAGAATCTAAGACTCCAGGGGTTCCTCAAAAGAACCCCCAGCCCCTGTGTCACCAGGTTCTTTAAAGAAATGTCAGTTCTCCACTCTGCTTGAACTTGCCCAGAGTGAAACTTACCTGAGCACTGAGTACTGCAGTATTAATGGACAGTCTTTTTAAAAATAAACCCCTTTTGTTTCATTACCATCGTTTATATCGTTGAGTTCCCAAAGCGCCATAAGCAACCAGCACAATGTCTTTTGACTTGCAGTAATCCAGCAGTTTGCTCTGGTTCAGATAAGGATGACACTCAACCTATAGATGGATAGAATGGAAAGATATCAGCATATATGAAATGCTAATATTATGATAAAGAGAAAATGCTATAAGTAAATAAAGCTGAATAAGAAATCTACATGTCAAATTATATTTGAATTCAAAAGATACAAATAAAGTAATTTTCTCTTAAAGATACATTTCATATCTGTCACCAGTATGGGTCAAAGAAACTTTCCTGTTTCTCTGTGGACTAGATCTTTGAACATAAATACCATTTGCATGACAAAAAGGGCTGGGAACTTCCGTGTCCTGTCACCTTTCCTTCCATGCCCATCTTTTGAGACTGCAGGAGAGTGCCTCACTCTTCCTCTGGAGTGAGCTGCCCACATCCCATGGTGCCCATCCCCCTGTTTGAAACCATTTGCAGTTCCTCCCACTGCTCCAGGATTCAGGCTTCTCTTTGGAAGCATCTCCCTGCTTTGGGGCCATCTGCAGTCCCTCCCATCACTCCAATTCTTAGGTTTCCATGCTGACTAGCACCACATCAATTTTCCAACTCTTCTCCTTGGACCTTGGCCCTGTTCCCCTGAGGCTGCCAAAGTGCTCCTAATTAGTCAGGGCTGCCTAACCCTCCTGGAAGGCTCCTAAGTGGCCACCCTGGACCCATGTGGTTGCTCCAATGTAAAATTAAAAGAGAGGATTTGAAGCCTAGACCAACTAACGTTTCATACACAATCAGAAAGCAACCAAGCTACAGCAATAATACAAACACAATCAAATTTCAAATCAACAAAGGCAGACTTGAGTTTCATAACAGAATCATAAGCAACAAAATAAATCCACATGCCAAAACCACAATGTGAAAAGCAGAAATAATATGTCCCCACCAAACACCACCAGTCCTATAGAAGATTTCTATGGTGAGAACTCCCTAGAGGTAACCAAAGACAAAGATTGTAAAAAAAAAATCATAAACATTATCAAAGAATTCAATGTATTTAGAGAACACACAAACAACTCAAAAAACTAAAAGAAGATAGGGATAAACTTCTGAATGAATTCACAAAAGAGATAGAAATGCTGAAGAAAATACAGGCTGAAATGATGAAGAAAGTGAAAAACTCAGTAAGTCAATTTGAAATGACAGGAGGAAACCCCACCAGAATGAATGAAATGGAAAATGGAATCTCAAGACTGGATAATAAAGCATCCATGTCCTTTGAGACAGTGGCACTGCTCCTAAAATCTTCTTTTTCACAGTAGCAAGATGAACTGGGAGAGTGTAAACTGGCAGGAGGCAGTAGAAGGAAATTCATGGGGGAGGCCAGAGGCTGGGCTCTCACCTGATTGCACACAGGCTTGTACTTCAGCCCTGGCTTGTTCAGGATTCTCTCCAGCTGTCTGTGGTTAAAGTTGGACACCCCGATGGACTTGACCAGTCCTGCATCCTTACACTTCTCCATGGCCTGGGGAAAGATTGGAGTTGTGAAGACTCATGTTTACACTGACTGCATCAATATGAATGCAGAATGGCAAAGTAAAAGACAACACTGTCTAGGGTTGGACATGTAGATCAGTGATACAGCATTTGCCTAGCATGTGCAAGACCCCATGTTTGATCACTGGCACTACAAAGGTGAGAGGGAGCAAAGCTTTTCACATGATCACTGTAATTCAATATGAAGAAGTCAGAATGGTGATGGTGATGGAAGACGGTGATATTCCAAAGGAATTCCTATGTCTTCCTTAGAAAAATAGAAATATTACTGTGCAGGGTAGCAAAATATACATATACCTATTGTCCTAAGAACTTCTTCATTTCTGTCTACTAGATTTCAGTGATGCATTCCTCCAACCACACTCCAGAAAATATGTGTGTAAACATAACGACTTTCTTGATCCAAGGACACAGCTTATTTTCACAAGAAAGACCTTGTTCTCATCCTTCAGCGTTCATCTGTTGACTTGTCAAATACTCACCTCCCAAGTGGCACAGAAATCTACTTTGTCCAATAGTGTTTTTCCTTGTTTATCTACTGGAAAATCATCATCTCCTGGCTGGAAAAAAAGCAGTCATTTCAGCCATCTCTCTAAACCATGTCTCACCTATAGTAATGCCCTTAAGAATATCTTGGAAGTAAGACACTAAACAGGAATGAGGCATCATTCAGCATACTTATACTTACAAAATGATTTGCACATGGAGTTGTAAGGACTGCCTTTAAGGTCTTAAGTTGCTATGCTCTCTTATAGCAATGATATTTATACTTAAATAATATTTTCTCACAACCAAAATAGATCTCCTAGTTGATCCATATTCCTTTGTCTACTTTCAGGAGTTGCATGACTTTGAACTCCAGCAATGACCCAGGATGGATAATGAGTATTCTCTGTATTCTTCATCTAACTGAACATATGTGGGTTCAAAGGGCAGGTATGTAAACCAAGGATGGTCAGACAAGGTTGTATATAAGACTGATTTTGATAGAAGTTTCAGAGAACCTATACAGTGTTAAGGGCCTGGAGCTTGATCTGCCTCAAGGGCATTGTTACCACCCAGAGAGAAAACTGAGACAAAACCCAAGAAAATATACAGTAATTCAGATATGAGATGTATAAATATCCAAAAACAAACAATCCAGTTAAAACCTGGGACAAGAAACTGAACAGAGAATTCTCAAAAGATAAAACACAAATGGCTGAGAAATATTTACAATACTGCTCGACATCTTCAGCCATCAGGGATAGGCAAATTAAAACTACTTTGAGATTTCGTCTTGCCCCAGTCAGAATGGCTGAGATTAAAACACAAGTGACAAATGCTAGTGAGGATGGAGGGAAAGGGAAATACTTATTACATTGGTTGAACTGCAAACTGATGTAGCCATTATAGAAATCAATGTGGAGATTCTTCAAAAAGCTAGAAATAGATCTACCACATGATCCAGCTGTACAGTTCTCCCACACACAAGCCAAAGAACTCTGTTTCCTACTACAGAGATGCCTGCTCATCCGTGTTCATTGTTCATCTATTCACCATAGCCAGGAAATGGACACAATCTAGATGTTCATCAACTGATGAATGAATAATGAATAATGGTACATTCACACAATGGAATGTTATTCAGCTGTTAAGAAAAAAAATTACAAAATTCACCCAGACCCAGAAAGACAAACATTATATGTTACCTTTCATAAGTGGATGCTAACTTGAATCTTTAGATATGTGCATTTCAATTGGAAAATCCATAGAAATCAGGAAATAAGTAATTGTCCATGGAGGGGAGGGTCTTCATGGGAGGGATAAAACAATGATACATATACAGGTTTTATGGAGTTACCCTACCATGGAGAGAGAATGCTCTTGGCACACAACATAGCCTAGCAAATACAAAGCCAACACGAGGCATGGGCTCAATCTTTTTTAGTTTTTCACTAGAGAGTTCCCACAGACCCTCAAACAATACAGGCTATTGGTATCCCTCTTCATTATTCTTCAGAACTCGATGATGAAAGCCTTAAGATGCTTAAGACAGCACATGCACAAGTCATACATCAAACATGGAGAAATCAAGCTGGTGCTGACCTCAAAGCTTCATCTCCACTGGCTATCTTTCATAGTGCTGAAAGGTGCTAAGCATGCTACCAGAAAAGAAAAGTAATCATCAGTCTTACCCAGCAGTGAAACCTGCCAGCTTTAATAACAGCTGGCCTGGCAAAATATGCCCACTGGTGCAATAGTGACACAAATGCGGGAGTAAGCAATGAGCTCCTGATTGGATTTAACGTCTGCTCCATATGATGGAACCTAGACCTGGCACTGTTATCAATGTCAAGAGCCTCTGCCTAGACACGTCACAGTCCATGGAGGAGAACCTAATACTCTTACTCTGCTAGATGGGCATAGTATTGAACTGACTCCTAATAGTGATTAACACAGAGACCCACTGGTCAATGTGCAGAGAACTCAAGAGACTGCAGAGTGCTCAGTCCTAAGTGGACCATCTACATTCCACACTCTCCTTCAGAGGCTCTGGGATCAATGCAGAAGAGAAGGCACAAGATTGCAAGACCAAGAGGTAGTGAATGAATACAACAAACCCTTAGCTTGTGACAGCCTGCATAAGAGCTGTACAAACCCCAGCTAGACAAAATCCTAGCATAGATGCACAAAGTCCCTCCCCTAGCTGTGGAAGTATTGGCAATTGATAGGTGCTGGGAGAGGGAGAGCCAGGTTTCATAGCTGACCATGCCTCAGGGAACAGACCCACACCCAAGAATATTTGGGAAAAAACAAATCAGACTCAATAGGCCTTGAAAAGAAAAGATATGAAGTGAGGGAGTAGGAAGGTGGAAATGGATCTCAGAGGAGATGGAGGAAGAGGCCTGACTATGATCAAAGTACATTGTACGAAATGTTCAAAGGAGCAGTAAAAATATTTTGTAAAAAAAAAAAAAGAAAGAGAGAAAAATGTAGGGGCTGGAGAAATGGCTCAGTGGTTCAAAGCACTGGCTGTTCTTGCAAAAGACCGAGGCTCAAATCCCAATACCCACATGGCAGCTAACAACTGTTTGTAACTCCAGTTCCAGGGAATCTGGGTCCTTCTTCTGTCCTTTTCGGGCACTGTATGACACAGGTGCACTCACATACATGCAGGCATAACATTCATACCCATTAAATAAATAGATAAATAGATAAATAAATGAAATTTTTAAAGAGATGCATAAACACAGACATTTCTGAAATTTACTTCTAATATGTAATTCTGGGATTGCTTGGACATCCCATTTTAAAATCTAATAAACTTTTTTGTGGAACCTACTTCAAGACATTTTTAGAACATATAAACTCAGTTTATGTGAAATTATGATTAGACTCATCTCAGCCATCATAAAGGTTTGATCATTTGTCCCATACAGAGTTGTGGAAGTTTGAAGATACATATTACCTACCTTCATGGGCACTGGGTAATGCATAAGATAAAGGTCAACATAGTCCAGTTGAAGTCTTTTCAGTGATTTTTCCAAACAAGACCGGACCAGTTCTGGTCGGAAAAAAGTGCACCAAAGCTGTAAGGTTGGAGAATGGAGCTGTGCTAGATTAAAAATTGTCAGAATCTGGATTCCTTTACCTTAATATTGACAGAATGTTTGTTCTCGATGGAAACTTCCATCTGACCTAGCCATATTAACTTATTTATATATTTTGTTACCGTTAGTACAATAGAAGGAAATTACTTGAGAAACAAAACATAACTAGTAATGCCCAATCTCCAAATTATTTTTAACAAAGATTATAGAGGCTATTTCAGTCCATCTCTTCTGTTTATGTAACTAGAGAAGAGTTAGAATCACTAGATTTCCATAAGTGAAGGAAATATTGTGGATATTCTATGTATCTTTATTTTTATGTGCCTGAGTGTTTGCCTGCATGCATGTATGTATGTGTACCATGAGCGAGCATGCCTGGTGCCTACAGAGTCCAAAGGAGAGCATCCGATCACCACAAACGAGTTATGGTTGGTTTTTACCCATATGTAGTGCTAAGAACCAATCTTAAGTCTGCTGCAAGAACAAGTGTTCCTGAGCGATCTCTTTGGCCCTCATTTTGAACATTTTAATATATACCAGATATATATCAATACACTTTAGTCATATTTTGTTTGGGAGCCCCAAACTCTACTATAATGTTCTCTGATATTAATAAAGGTTTACTGATATTACCAATTATAATAAATTTTATCAATCCAGGAGATAAAATAATAATTTGATAATAGGGTTATCTGATTTGGCAACCCTTGCCAAATGACATTGCTTTGAACTAAGGCTCATAAAAGTAAAAGGGCTTTAAAAAGCTATATATTTGTAAACAGTTAAGTCAGAAGTAATATTTTCCTGTTTCAATAATGAATCTGATATGTGAATTATATGTGAAAAATAAGCACATGTAATCAACTACTGATGCAAGTTTTTAATTTTTACCTCTATATCTCCTTTCATTGATTTGTACACATACATTCTACAAATACATCACCTTTGAGGTGAGGAATATGTCTTCTCTCTTCACAACACCAGCTGCAATCTTGCTTTTGATGGCCTGTCCTATCTCCTCTTCTACTTGATATGCAAAAGCAGTATCAATATGGCGGAATCCAGCCTCTATAGCGAGGTTTGCAGCCTCCAGTGACTTACTCTTATGGACCTAGAGGAGGAGCAATACACGTGCTTAAAGATGTGTGCTCTTGAGAGGCTGCTGAGTGAGCCTAGAGGACAGTTCACTAAACTGGAAGGAATTTTGTCTTTCAAAGTCATTCTAGAACTACTTGTTAGGCTCCAGGATCCTTGAATTCTTATTTTTTCCTCTTCTGTAATACATAATGTCACCAAAGAGATGTTGTAGAGGTCACAGAAACACTAAGACACCTTCACAGAATCACTTTGTCTATATTTTCTTCTTTATTTGAGGTAATGAGCCCAGAACCACTTTCTTTCCAGACCCCAGAACTCTCCATACCTCCGTAATCCTGGTTAATTACTAGAACTAGAGGATGCCACGATCATTCCAGTTGAATTGTATGTTAGAAAGCCACATTCAACTAATATAGTAGGGTCACTGAGAAAAATGAACATGAGGGGATATGCTTTAAACAACGTACAAAAGAAGAATGATGTAGGCTTCATATGGGTCTTATCTGAGTGAAGACACACAATACATGTTAAATTCCCTCTGGATGAATGTTGACAACCCATGGCAAATATCTACAGACAAAGATGTTAAATCGTCTTCAAAGATTTCTAAGAGCCAATTACATAAATACCTCCTACCTGCCCCTTGCTGGGACTCACTCTATCACAAAATGATGTAGAAATCAAGGTCTCAGACACCAACCAACGTGAAGTACGTGAGAGGGACTTGGACAGAGAATAGTAAGCTATGTTGAATCTTTTCACACATCCAGTCTCCCTGTCTGACAGATGTAAATGCTAGCAGAAAAATGCATATCCTAAAGATATATGTTTATAAATAATAACTCTTATCAGTAGGCAATTATTCATTTGGGGTATCAGCTCTTAAAACCAAAGCCCCTCTGTTTAGATATGACAAGAATTAAATTTAAAATTATTGCCTTGTCTGCCAGGTTTGGATAATGATGAGAAAGTTATTTTGTTAAAAGATTTAAGAAGTGAGCTAGGGAGAAATCTCAGTCAATAAAATGCTCGCCACACAACTAACCACGAGGACCTGAGTTCAGATTCCCAGCATTCACATAGAACTGAGCTTAGTGGCACACGCAATCCTTAGTACTGGGGAGGCAAAGACAGGAGGATCCCTGGAGCTGATTATCCATTCAGTATAGCTGAATCAGCAACTCCAGGTTCAATGAGAGACCACACACACACACACACACACACACACACACACACACACACAAAACAGTGATGGCTAAACACATTCAACTTTGACCTATGCCCTCCACACCCACATGCACAAACACATGAACATAAGTAAACACAATCATACAATACATGCACACAGGATTTAAAAAGTAAATCATATCACACTTATCTAATTATTTTAAGAATTTCTGCAGTATTCCTTCACAATAAAGCACAGTGGCCTCCAAGACCCTCTCCTGATACCAGTTCTGACTTATGCAAGGAAAACATCATTCACAGGTAACCATAACTGAGGTTTTGGAGTGGCCTTGACCCTTCCTTGCTCTTCATGCCACCTTTCCCTGAAATGTAACCAGGTCCTGTCATGTATCTCCAGGTAGCTCCATAAATCTAACAAAAAGGAAAGGTGTGAATTCAAACTTCAAGGAATAAGTCCTTAGTCACACAACTAAGTGGTCTCAGGAAAATTGTAAAATATGAACTTCCATCTAGGTGAACAAACTGCCCGCCTTGATCCCTTCATTTATGAGGGCCTCCCTTCTGTAAACCCAGCATAATTAATGAGGACCAATAATTAGATCCCTCTTCCCCCTGTCATAATGTTGTATTACATATTCAGGTACATGAGAGAGTCTTTACAGCCCGGGTACAACATTTGCTGTGAGATGCTGAAGGCTGTCCCAGAGCGGAACAACAGCACTCCACAAATATTTGTCTTATGCATTTCATCTAGAGGAAGACACCCTAATTTACCACACAGATTTCCCTGGATCTTGCCTTCTTGAGAACAAAAAAGATGTCATGGGCTAAAGATATAAAATCAGAGTTCCCTTCCCACACTACAATCAACACCAAATCAAGGAATTTGACAGGAAATGTTCTTAACTGGTAACTTTCATTTCTTCTATCAAACTGAGAAAAGTTGAAATAAGAGAAACAGGGTATTTCACACCACCTAAGCATTACTTGTCTCTCTCTCTCCCAATCTAAAGCTCCGTCATCTCTCCCCAGTTAAAGTACCCCCACTTTGCCATTTTCCCCTTGATACCTGTTTGCTATTACCCTCCTTCTTCCCCTTTACTCTCATGGTTCTTTGTATAATCTTCCCTCCTCCCTTCCATTAGTCCAAAAGCCTACTGAAAAATACATATAACAATACCTGTACATGAGTGTGTACATGTATCTGAAGGCTGTATAACAAGAAACACAGTAACAAACAGGAGAAACCTCCCTTCAAGTTGTTGGTCAGGGTAGTCCAAGAGACTCCCAAAATAACACAGGCTATTGTCACAGTCCTTGATTACCTCTCAGAACTTGAAGGTAAGACCCTATTGCTGCAGACAAGCCACACTTTGGACACAGACCTTAGAGTAACAGGACTGGAAGTGATCTGGAAGCCTCCTCCCTGAAGACTAGCTCTCATAGTTCTAGAGGATACTATGCAAGCTGCTAAGGGAGAAAATCAATCAGCAGTCCAACCCAGCTTTAAAGCCTAATAACCACAATAATGACCAGCACAGCAAACTATATCAGTGCAGTAGTGGCACTTTTATCAGAGGGGTAATCAACAGCTGTCTAATTGAACAGCTCAGCTGGCTTAATGGAAAGGAGCTCATGTGCGGCACTGTAAATGAAGCCAAATACACATGGCTGGAGATGTCACAGATCTTACAGAAAACCCCTCATCTGTCACATCCCTGGACAAATGTAAGTTTTTACTGTATGCTAAATATGAATCTTTATATTTACAGACAAGCCTACCAGTCACTATCCATCCAACAAGCTGCTTTTTTGCAAGAGTTCCACAACTGGTCACACACAAAGACTAAGTCTCCGTGAGATGCACAGCCCTAAGTGACATACCTACAATGCAACCTCTACACATAATGCTCATGGAACATACTGGAACTCGGGGTAGAGAGAATACTAATGCATTTCTCAACTCTCACCAGTAAAGCTCCATGTAACAGAGGGTGATGAACACAGAAGGCCACAACTGACAAAGAATAGAGAATAAAAGACTGCAGAGTGCGTATCCCTGCATAGGACTCTCATTATTAAACCTCACCCACCCCTGGCTCAGGGACCATTGTGGAAGAGGGGGTAGAAACTTTAAAAGCCAGGGTTGGCTCATGACCATAAGGAAACAGAGCCTCCCAGGCTTCTGGAAACTTGTGCATATGAAGTTACAGCAGTGATGACAGCACGTACAAGACCTATGCAAATTCAGGTAAAAATCCAGCATAGGACTTTGGAAATGGTCAGGAGGCCACAATTTGGTGAGGAACTATTGGAAGTTGATCTTTAAGGGAGTGATTCTAGATAGGCTGACTAGACTCTAGTGAATGAACTCACACTGAGGGACATTTGGTATACAAACTTGACTGGATAGGCCTTAGTTTATGACAGAATGCATGAAATCTGTGGGCAGGCTTCACCTAGGGGACAGGGGTCTAAATATGATTAAGATGTATTATACGAAATGCACAAAAAATTGATAGAAATATGCATTGGGAAAAAAAAAAAGAAAGAAAGAAGGTACCCAGAATAGTTAGGTCATGGACCTATCCCTTTAAACCTGGACCTTACAGCCTAAAGAATCCAACCAGTTCCCTTGAATACCTGACAGGCCCCTGCTGGGAAGAGTAAACTCACAGGCAGGTCTGGACAGCAAAAGCAAGGCAAACAAATTCCCCAACAGACAGCAAAAATGACAAGAGGGGGGCTGGCAAGACAGCACAGTGGTTAAGAACACTGCTCTTGCAGAGAACCCGGGTTCAATTCCCAGCACCCACATGGTGTCTATGAATCATCCTTAACTCTGGTTCCAGGGGAATCCAAAGCCCTCTTCTGACCTCCGCAGCATTGCACAACACGGGTGCTCATATACATGCAGGCAATACACTCATACACATAAAATAAAAATAATAAAATATATTTAAAAATGACAGGAGAAAATAAATTTCCTCTCTATTCTCGCAACACCTGGCTGAGTTATAGTCAATCTCACAATGCCCTTCAGGTATCTACCCAGTAACTAGATCATAAGACTACTAGCACCCACCCCTTGGAGAAAGGTATAAATATTAGGTCTTCCCTTAGTTCCCAGGGAGACTGTGCACCCCTTCCTGCAGGCTCACAGGCAGCTTGGAGTCTCCTCTGCACCCCGCCCCCCAGGGAACTACACCAAAGTGAAGGTCCTGTTCCACCTAAATCCTACCCCAGAGTCTATTTATAGAACTAACTCACTTTCCCACCTGCCTTCACAGCCCACTGCAGCTGCTGCTGGAACCTCTATTTAACAAGAATGACCAGTATGTGCAGATAAAATCAGACCCTCCTTCAGAGCAAAGGCTAAATATCTTCTCTCTTGTATAAGGAATAGTTCCAGCCTGGAGGAGCAGAATTTGGGGTTCTTACCTCTTCGGGTTTGTAGGTACCAAAGCCCAGAGCAGGGATGAAGTGGCCATCGCTGAGTTTCATGCATTGATGTTTGGAGCTCATTGTTTGTTGCTCCTCTGCCTAAGCAGGTTCTGATGCTTCTGCCTACAGGGGCAGTGAATAAATAGAATTTATGTATCAATGTCCTGTCCTAGGTTGAATAGTGGCACAGATGCTTCCTGTCTAATGATTAACCATTGCTACTCCTTGACTAGTTATTAGCCAGATCTATACTCTGCCTAATGGTTAAACAATAGTACTAGGTGCCTGCTGCTCAAACAATCCTACTGCCTGTCTAATGGTTAATCAAGAGAAGGGAGAGGGTCTAGTAAGGTTAAAGTGGTATTCCACATGTAAGAGGGAAATTCACGTATTTCATATGAAGGATATATTTTTAAGTAAATTACTACACAGCATTTATTTTCAGTAAATTTTCTGCTTGAAATCTCATTTATTATATATTGTATTAAAATAGCACAAGAGATTGAATAACTATAATACTTCAGACACACATCCTCTTGTATTATTTTTATTTTTGTCATCATGCAACCTCTATTTGACCATGTATCACTGGAAACAATCAGGCATCACACACCATACAAACATACTCAAAGAACAAAGAAATCACAGTCAAGCAGTGCGGGAGGCCACCCCGCAATGTGACTCGGTTCTGACCCGCAGAACTTCCACGAAGTACCTGGATTGGGGGGTGGGGCCGTGGATGAGGCAAGCGGCAAGAGAAATGGAGACAAGACAGGATTCTGATCAAGTCTCATTTATTGAAGCACAAGCAAGAGTTTTTATAGAGAATGAGAACAAAGGAACACAGACTGTAAACCATTACATCAGTCAGAGCACAAGCGCTCTGACACACATTAAGGGAGGAATCTCTGATTATAGAAGAATAGAACCGTATGCAAGAAAGGAGACCAAGGCCATGGGCCAAGGTTATTTAGCAAGGCTATCTGGCCCTGGCTGCAAGCCAGGGTCGTGGGCTCTGGCTGCCTGCCAGAGTTTCCAGGCCAAGGCTGCGGGCAGAATGGAAAGCTGCCAGCTCAGGCCTGTCAGCAGTTTTGAGAGGTAGCTGAGACTCAGTTGAACCTCAGGCTCCCAACAAAGCAGTTTTAAATATTTTGGCTCTAGAAAAAAATCAAAAATTAAAATTGGAAAGGTCAATCCACTTTTAAAATTCTCATTGCCAGGGACCGTTACAGAGGAGAGGATGGGAAGATTGTAAGAGCCAAAGATACAGGAAGACCAGAGCAAAACCACTTCATGTCTTCTGTACACAACAGAACTGCTGCACTCAGGAACTTGTGGATCTATGGTTGTCTGAACAAGACCTACACAAGATCAAGCCAGTCAATATTCTAGCTTGGAATGGGAACTGTTTCATGAGCCCCAACCATTAACTGAGGAGCTATGGACAGTTGATGGCATCTGGAGAATCATTTACTTTAGAGGTGAAGGTCCTGGTTGATGGACTATGTTAAAGTGGATGACACGCCCCTGCAGCCAGAAGTATATAGACAGCACAAATTAGCGTCAATGAGTTATTAGATTTTTTTTTAAAGATATGGTGTTGGGACTATAGGGAGGTGGGGGTGGGTCTGAGAAGAGCCAAGAGGAGGAGTTTGGAATGAATATGATCAAAATATATTGTGTGACATCATGTGAAATTCTCAAAGAAAATAATATTTATTAAAAATCCTCATTGCCAAATATTTTCTGTATCCTTCTTATTTCATTGACACAGGGGCAATCCAGACACACATGCAATAAAAAGAACAGTTCAGAATGACTGAGTGCTATTGACTGACAGCTACTGGAAATTATTTTGTAATATGCAATGAAACAAACTTTATTATAGTACTCGCCTGCTGGGTAACTCTTATATAACCATCAATAAACATGTTATGAGGAAGAAGAGGATAGTAAGAGCCAGAGAATGGCAAGACTAGGGCAGGACAATGTCTTCTGGACATACCAGAACACTTACATTCAGGAACTAACAGCAGTTGTGATTGGTTGCAAAAGAGCAAACCGTTGTCAACATTCCAACATGGAGGAGAACGGGCTGATGAGCCTCCACCCTAGCTGAGGAGGTATTGACAGTTGATGGCTGCTTGGGGAGGGAGAGTCAGTTTTTCTTTATAGGTTGTGACCCCTAGTAGATTGAGCATGTACAGGTATGTATGGACTGCAGTAACCAGACTCATTTGGCTACTAAAATAGAGAGAGAGAGACACAGAAACTTTGGCATGATATGTTGAGGTGGATCCAGGAGGAGTTAGAGAGAATCCAGAGAGTGAATATGACCAAAATATATTGTATGACTCTATAAAATGCTCAAAGATCTATAAAAAATATTACTAAAAGCAAGATGCCAAAATGCAGGACACTAATTTATATAGTTTATGACTTCAGTCAACATTATTCACAAAAGAACAAAATAGAAAATAACTAAGTTACTATACATTTTAGAGTAGGAGGGTAAATTTAGTGTCCATGAGTGTTGGAGAGGTGACTCAGCTGATAAGAGTACTGGTTGTCCTTGCAGAGGACAAGGACTAGCTCCCAGCACCCTTGCTAACTGCCATCCAAAACTTGAGTTGGAGGAGATCTGATGCCCTCTTCTGGCCTCTCTAAGTGTTACATGCACACATGCACGTATATACATGAAGGCAAAACACTCATACACATAAAATTAAAGCAATCAAAAAACTTCATTGTGTCTGCGAAATGGAATTTCTATGCAGTTTTCATTATTGAAGAATGTTGAATATATAGGATTGGAATACTACTCAGTAATGTAATATGGCCACACTGTATGTGCTATAAGCATGACAAACCTAAAACTTGGAAACATTCATTCCTTTTGAAAGATAAAGTTCTGGTGACTTTCAAATTTTCAAGGTACCTTTCAAACTTCTTAGATTAATGCCTACCAATGTGGAATTTGAGAAAAGTGTTTACTAAGAAATATAAAAGTAGTCAATTATGTTTCTATTGTTTTGCTCAGAATATCCATGAGATCCATCAGTGTGTTTGGAGTACCTGTAGTTCACTTCATTAAATGCTGAGTAATACTGTATTTGTTTACATATGTCACAATTATTTATACCTTCACATGCTGATGGAAATTATAGTTGCTTCCACTTGCTGTAATTGTGAGTGAATAGCTATCAATATTCATCAAACTCTTTTTAATGGTATAATACTTTGTCTTTCAATTGTCTGGAAAGTGTGTGTGTGTGTGTGTGTGTGTGTTTCAGTGTGGAAGTAGATAGCCCACATCTCCTAGAGGAGTCAGTCTTGAATGTCATTGTCAAAAACACAATCAAATCTCAGACCAGATAATTCCATGCTTCCTATTATAACGAGGTGCAAAAGTTATGTTGGAGATGTTCAGTGGGAAAAGAATCAAATACAGCCTGCAGGTATAATTTCATTAGTGTTCACACCAACTTATCACATCAATTCCGATGATCTAATTTCAGATCATCTGTATTAGTATCTTTTCTGGGATAAAACACCATGGCTAAGGCAACTTAGAGAAGGAAGACTTTATTTGGATTATGAAGATAAGAGTTGGTCATGGTGGAGAGGCAGCTGGAGCTTAGGGCTCACATCTTCAAGCATGTGCAGGAAAGAGAGGCAGAGAGAAAGAGAGAGAGAGAGAGAGAGAGAGAAGTTAGTTCAGGCTGCACTGACATCTCATCTTCCAGTTGATTTTAACTCTCAAAGTCCGCCTCCAGTGACATGCTTCCTCCTTCGAGACCATATTTCCTAAAGATACCATGACCTTCCCCAAACGGCACCATCAACTGACTCTAGGCTTACGTGCAAAAGTGTCTTCTGTGGTCAGATGTATATCTAGCAACACAAATGTAACAGGTCTAAAATCTGACTCATCAGATTCCTGTGAAAATCTGCCCTGTTCCCATCTTCTCAGGCAGCTCTTTCCATTTGTTTACCTTGCAAAATTCTGGAAGTCAACTTAGAGTCCTTGTTTTATTCCTTCTCACACCTTACACAATACACTAGGAAGTTTTGTGGGCTGTACACTTGAAAAATATCAATTTTCCTGACTGTTGGCCACGTTCCTTGCTGGTGTTGATCAAAGCCTGTTATTTCTCATGAAAACTGTTAGAACCATAAGAGAGAGCTTATCTTTCTTTACACCTGTAGTGTCTTTTAGTTAGCACCCCAAATAGTTCTTAAAACACATCTGTTTGTGTATCAACTCTGTTGAGACAGGGTCTCCCTGTAGCCCCAACTGTCCTGGAACTCACTATGTAGACCAGGCTGGCCTTGAACTCACAGAGATCCGCCTGCCTCTGCCGCAGGAGTGCTGGGATTAAAGGCGTGCACCACTACACCTGGTGAGAAGTTACTATTTCTCAATTTCTACTCTAGATCCTGCATCTTTTAAGCATTTTTAAATTTTTTCACCAACTCTACTGTTTGTAGATAATAGAATTAATATTTTAAAAGTGGCTCTATTATCCAAAGTGATGTGCAGATTCAATTCCATCTCTGTGAAAATATCAAGGGTGTTCTTCAAAGAAATGGAAGATTAAGAAGACTAAAATCATATGGAAGCATCTTAAATAGGCAAAGCACTACTGAGGGGAATAAAAAGAGAAATTCCGATGAATCATAATACCTGAGTTCAACTTATACTACAAACTTATCACAACAAAAACTGCCTAGTGCTGGAACCAATTAGGACATGTAGTTTGATAGAAAAGAATAAAAGCCCATGTAGCTACAGCCACCTGATTCCTGACAAACCTGCCAAAACATACATTTGACAGCACAATTATCTTCTTTCCTGAATAAATAGGAAACCCCCCCAACACACACACACCCCAAACTGACATGGTGCAGTAACTCACTACTGCATGGAATGTTCTTCAGTACAAACTTTTCCTAGGAAGTACGTGGTCCACCAACCTGAATGTAGGGACACATCTTCCTAACCACCTCTACCAAATATATGAATTCTTCCACACTCTTAAGAAAGATAAAATTCAAGTAATAATGTTTTATGTGAAAATAATTTTTCTCAGCATATAAACAATCAGGGAAAGTGCATTGAA